GTATGATATCTCCTGCGGCTTCCTTAATGCCGATAATATTATCTGTGTTTTGAGCTAATTTTAGCACGGTATCAGGAGCAATATTAACCCCTGTTCTAGAAGGAACATTATAAATAATAATGTCTTTTTTACATACCTTAGAAAGTGAAATAAAATGCTCGTAAAGTCCTTTTTGTGTAGGTTTATTATACCAAGGTGCTACAGAAAGCACGGCATCAAAACCATCTAAATCGGTATTTGTCACCCCTCTTAAAAGAGCCGAAGTGTCATTGTTCGCCAACCCTAAAACTAAGGGAACACGACCATTATTGGTTTTTAAAACAGTTTGCTTAGCGGCTTGTTTTTCTTTTTCAGTAAGGGTTACTGCTTCGCCCGTACTACCAAGCACCACGAGATAATCAACATCGTTTTTTATTTGATTTTCTACCAATGTTTTTATCGCAGTGTGGTCAATATTATTTGAATCATTAAAAGGGGTGGAAAGCGCAACCCCTGTTCCGTAAAACTTTTTTTTCATTTTTTTCTTATGTTTTTTCTGATGGGTGTTATATTTTTAAAATATCGAGATACTTTTTTAATTCTTTACAAAACAAATCAAAATTTTTAGGAGGCACCTTAAACAAAATATCAGATATTTTTTCATTTTGTTTTGTCGCAAAACCAACTTTTAAACCCGCGTTTAAAAGCAAAATTAGATGCTCTAAAAAAGGGTTTAAACTCGTATTTAAATTAATGACCAAACTATATTTTTTTTTAATAATTTGGTTTAAATTTTTATTAGATATTTTGCCGACGATATTAAAATTTTTTTTGGAGAAATAAGGTAATTCTTCTATTTTTAAGAGCATTACTTGGGTTTTTGGAATTTTGAGTAATCTTGCTATTTTATCATGTGGATTTTTAAAATAATATGATTCTGGTAAAATTATCAAAACATTTTTGATATTTTTCGGTTGATTAGATTTAAAATGATTTTTTTGAGATAACAGTCTTTTGTTCCTAAAACCTATAAAAAAACCCTTGATTTTTATTAAAATCATTTATTTAAAATAATAAATACAAACATAACAGTTTTTTATTAATTTTTATATTAAAGACGCTTATTTTTTTGTTATTAGTATTTACGCTATAAATTATTTATTTAGAAACAAAATAAATAATATGCGTGTTTGTTTATATTTAAAATATTTTCTAATTTTAGCAAAATTTTAAAAACTTATCTGTTATGAAAAAATTAATTTATATTTTCTTTATAGGGTTATTTTTATTTT